GCCAGAATTCTCTTTGGAAGCTTTTTCCAAAGTGCCCCTTTGAAAGCAGGTCCCTACTCTGGGGATAATTTTTGCAAGGACTTCAAATTTGCAGATAGCTGCAATTAAGCAAAGCTGATGTAAGCAGGATTGAAGAAAAGGGTCCCCTCTTCAGGCTCCTAGAATGGTCGCCCTTCCTCTCTTGGTAACACACACAGCAAGGCCAAAATTCTGGAAAGAAAACTCTACCGGGTCTAACACATTATGATAGAAATTGAATTTTTCCTATCAGGGATTGAACTTCCTTCAGAGTTGCTCTTCCTTTATCGAGCCAGCTGCTGAAGAGTTCTTTGCATTCTATAAGTCTGGCCTCAACTATTTCAAGAGAAAGATGATTTGTGTCGACCAAAATGCCTAAAAATTACATTCTTGAAGATGTTAGACAAGACTTAGCCTCAGCAGACATTGAACTGATGGAGTCCTACATGAGTAGCAAAAGCAGTTTTATGCTTATCTTTTGGATCCATCTTGACTTGCTGATATCCGCAGCTAAGTCCAGGGTACTAAACGATTGACAACCTCATCTATTGAGGGCAGAGGATAGACGTCTCCTAAAGTGACGTCAATTTAATTTTCGAAAATCAATACAGAACCAGCAGCATCCATATATTTTGTTAATAAACGAACAGGTGCTAAACAAGGACTACTGCAAGGCTCTATAATGTTTTGTTGTAACATCTTGTCAATTTCATCCTCTACTATCTGTTTCTTAGTCAAAGGAACCCTCCTAGCAGGTAATTTGATAATCTCATCCGTCTGCCCCAACAAGCCATCTTTACTGACGAAACATCACAAAATTCCTCACTAAAGCAGAAACAGACTACTAGTGACTGCAAATGACTTGCTAAGTCCTGGCTTTTTGCATCAATGGTTACAAGGTCATCATCACCAGCAACCACCTGTTCTATCATACTGAACCGCTATCTATGGGCACTCTCTTGCTGTTGATATTCAGCACTGAAATGACTACTACATCCTAGTCAGATTGAACTAGACTTCTAGCCACAAACATTTTCTTGTTTCTCCTGTACTCTTTTGTAATAAATTCTATTTCTCCTGTCTAAAGTCTAAGTCCTTAAACCTAACCACCTGAGTATCCTACTCCAGCTTTAGGACAGTGTTAGGCCATATCTGCAGCGCTATGACTGACTGAGCGGATCTGGCATCAATACCTGCCAATACTGCTAACCTCTGGAAACACTCCTGTGTCTGGTCTCCAATGCACTGTCATCAGAGTCACTGTCTTAAAGCTCTAGTCCCATAGATTCATCTGTGTGGTGACCTTCAAGTCCAAGTCCTCCATATCCCTAAGTTGGTCAAGGGTGACATGTTGAATTTCTGCCTCTGGGTTGACCTGTCTAGTGGAAACGGTTTCCCTTGCCGGTTTACTGAACTTTCAACCTTCCACTGAAGAACGTAGCTCCTTTATTTCAGCTTGGAGACATTGTTTTCTTCGGGATCTAGTCAGGTGCTTCTCTTCACTTTCCAATGCCAACTCTGACTCTGAACTAGAACTCGCAGTTGAGTCACTGGCTGGTTCCCTCAGCTGACTACCTTTGGATACGGCCCCCTCTGACACATCCCCTGTCTCACCCATACACAAAATGGCGCTCTGTCCCTCGTGTCAAACAATGTTATCAACAAAATGATTTGGAGTGAAAAGTGCGGACTGATTGTGCTCTGTGCTTTTATATTGCCTTCAGGGAACAGCATGATGGGAAATCAGAAACACAGAGAGTACCTGGACGACACATACAATTGAAAAGGCATGGTCGCATCACCTCAATGAACATCTGCAGTGGTATTGTCAGAGAGTCACATGGCCTCAAGCAAGATGGAGACATGTTCTGTTCACAGATGAGTCCTGTTTTGGGCTGAGACATGCTGTTGTACCAACATCATAACAAACGTTAAGCTGAAAATTGTGTTCAGCAAGTGGATGGTTTTGGAGGGGGAAGCGTCATGGTGTGGGAAATCATTCATCACAGAGGCCGGACAGCACTTGTGGATGGTGGATGGTTATCGAGACGAGATCCTGCAGCGCCATGTTGTCCCCTTCATCAACGTCAATGGTGGCATCTTTCAGCAGGTCAACGCCAGACCCCACGTTGCACGTGTATGCACAGAGTTTCTGCGTCAGAACAACATGCCTACGCTACCCTGGCCTGCCTGCTCGCCAGACTTGTCCCCTATTGAACATCTGTGGGACATGCTGGATCGTTGTGCCCGTCAACATCAACCACCGCCACAGACATTTCAGGAACTGTTTGTGACACTAGAGCAGCAGTGGCAGAACATCCCCCGGGCTGATATTCAGACTTTGATCGCGTCTATGGTCAGTCGCTGCCATAAGGTGATAGCAGCTGGAGGAGGCCATAATCGTTACTGACTTTCCACCTACCCCGGTTGTCTTTGCACCAGTTTTTGTTAAGTGCATATTGTACAGCAATAATTTACCTATACATTCCACTGTTCATAATATTTATCAGGGTTCGAAATTAAATTTATTTCAAGTTTGCCAATGGGCACAGTTATGCCAAATTAAGTGTGCCATCACAGTTTTAGGTGTGCCAGGAAAAACATTGGCTTCTAAACTGTTTTAATGATTAATCATAATTCAAATACATGTCAAGAGACTGTCATAGTGTTTATTCAAGTCAAATTATACTTAGAATGAATGATCAGTCAGAAAATTCAAACACCCATCACTCAAGTTACTCATTATGGGTTACTCATTGCCTTTGAACCTTAGTTAACTACTGTAATACCAATTATAATAGTTCCAAGATTTAAGAGCTCCTGTTCACAACTGGTAGTAGCTTTGCACTGATCAGTTACAGTTGTAGCTGTTCTGGGTCCATAGGGTGTGGTCCAACTGGCCCTCTTCTCCTCTGGGATTTCAGCCTATCTGCATCTTTGTTACTACATGTTATACTGTAAATCTTGAAATTAATGCGAGAGTGAATTAAATGCCAAAAATGCAAGTGGTCTTTGCTCGCATTATTAAACATTGTAATTATATCAACAATAAGACATTTTGGATAGCAGAAATACCAACTTAGACATACACTGAAAACAAACAACCATGTATTCCACATCACTTTTTATTGAGCAGCACTTGTAACAAGTATATGAACAATGTCATTCAAACACTAATTACATCCTGTGAATTGTTCCACTCACTAATGTCATCACTGATCACACCTGCAAGTCCAGACAGACGCCACCCACGCAACACGGTGTCTTTGTTCTTTGCGACTGCGTCAAAGGCCGACATGAGCCAGCGCGCATGTACTGTTTTAGCAGAAGTACTCTACTCAGTGCTAATAAGCGGTGCTATTTGGTGTATGACTGGATTAAACCTGACAGAGGCAAATTTTCTTTAGATACAAATCCACAGAGAGGAGGGAGGTGTCACATTCATATTGAGTCACATTTTTGGCTAGGGGCCAGTGGTCGCATTCTTTTGGAAACGTATTAATTTCATGATTTACAGTACATCATTTGAAAGGTATAATCCTACTGTTTATACATATGCAAGTTATGTTTATCACATTATTTAAATAATTTAAAACTAAAATTATGGTGTTGTAAATAAAAAAATCAAAGCGAACACATCCATAATGTCCAGATTTTAAGGACCAAGGAAGCGAACATTTTCACATTTCATAAAATCCACTTACCTATTTCTTTTTTATGTCCATTGTTTACGTAATCGGAACATTACATTATCTTCAAAAATTATTTTGTCATCTACATGATATTAAACTTGCCTAGAGTCTTTACATAGCTGTAACATGCATATTGCATAAAAATTGGTTTCTAATGACGCTTATTTGCCGAAATCTGCTACGACCTAAGGCAGCCAATCAAATTACAGCAATGGTACCGTCCTTGTGTATGATGAATTTTTTGTTGTTGTTGTTATATCGTGTTATTCTGAACATTTTAAGCAGGAAATCACGATCTATATTAAAAATATAAAGCGAAATATGACAGATTGAATGAATGAATGATGTGACAGGTAGGTTCATAAAATTATATACTGTTTTGACGTGACTACAGCTAGATTGGCTGGTCTATTGGCCTAGAGACTTCTTGGCCGGTGTACCCGCCTATGGTGTTGAAAGAGTTAAATAGTGTTGATCATCGTTTTCACAAAAAGAAATTCAGTTTGTTCATGAGTCATAATTATCAACAGAAATACTGCATCAGTCACTTTCATCGATAAGTTAATTTTGCCATAGGGGCACGCAGCTAATGAATTCACCGTGCCATTATAGTTTCAGGTGTGTCCTCGGCACGATGACACTGATAATTTCTAGCCCTGTTTATGAAATCTAAACTTGAAAAATAAACCCAGTTGCAATCTCGATTTAGAGTTGTTGTTTTTTTTAAGAATATATTTTAAATCTACCTGAATTCGACGATTTGGTCTTTTAGACATTAGCAACTAAGTAACAATAGCAACAATAAGCAACAATAGCAACACTGCCACTATCTGTTGACCTCCTGTTTGAAGCTGGCAGCTAAACGTTCATGCCAACATTGGTATACCCTGGCTCACCCATCAGCTTGATTCAGCATAATCTTGACTCATGCAGACCCGAACACTTGACCATTGCTGCTTAGACCATACTGTGTGTGCTTATCTCCACTGATGACACAATTGACGATAAAAGTTCTGACTGTGGTTCCTCAAAGTATGGTCAGATATCCTTCACAATACTGGGACTAGTCCTCTTATAGAGGATATTGCTGGACATCTTTGCTGCATATCAAATGGCCACATGAAGCAGTCATTGTGCATCCATTGTAACATATTGAATACTTTGGATACATCACTGCAATTCTCCTGCTACCAATTATCCGTCGATATTGCTCAACTGTGCTTGTGTAATTGTATAGTACTCTGTGTTTACTGGCTTCAGTTTATCTAATCAAACCAAAATCTGTTTCAGGAAATAGCAAATGAATTGGCTAGACTCAGTATCCAAGCATGTGCCAGGTTAGGTGGCTACTACAACAATGATAGCGCATTGTCTAGTCCCGACAACCCTACAGTCAAGAAGTCACTTGGTGCTATGTTGACACCCTACTTGGCCAGAAAACTGTCCAATGAACATCCAGCAGAGGTATGCAGTTCTGTATTGTCTCCTTCTGGATATCATTAGTACCATTTGTAACGTAAACAGACAGACAGTTTTTTCAGTAATTTAGGCATCAAGGCCCATAGTACAATGCAGATTGGATATTAACATTTTTCACGTGATGTATATGATTAGATTTTAAATCAAGTTACACATTCCTCATTATAAGACATGTTTAAGAATACAGAAACAGCATGGATCATATCAGGATTTCCAGAGTTTAGCAGATTTATCATTAACTGACGCTCTTTAAAAATGCCTTGCAGCAAGGGGAGAAATTTATACCTTAAATTGAAATGCATTTCACATATAAGCAAGACATGGTATTCATCCTCTTCTTCTCCGGATGAAAAGTATAGGAATATTTTTGCCTTTAAAAATGGTACATGTTGTGAAAAAAGACACACAACTATTTTTCCTGAATAAATCATATAGAGATATAATGGCTTTCGATGCCTCAACAGCTAATTGCTTACATGCCATAGACCATGACAATCTAGAGGAAAACATCATACCTAAATATTTATAGTTAGTGATTACACTCAAGGCAGACGAAACAAGAAAACACTTTTCATGTTTTGAACAATACCACCTTGAATAAAAACTACAGCATTGATTTTATTCTGATTTCCTACAAGACTCCATTTTGAACAGTAGCTCTGTAACACATTTAACTTTTTTGGCAATCCATTTACAGAATAGGAAATAATTACAACATCATCAGCAAAGAGAACGAGCATAATGTCCATTATTTCTTGTGTTACAAATATCCCATGTTAACAACTATTTTGCAGTTCTATAGCAAGTCCATTTATGAAAAAATATAAACAACAACGGACTTAAAACACAACCTTGTCGGAGGATGTTGTAAAGCAGTCCGTACCTTCATTATTGACCTTTATACTGATGCATACATGTTTTTAAAAAGAACAGACCATGACATCCCTTAGTAATAAGTAAATCCATCAATTCTTTCCTATTTACATAGTCAAAAGAATTTTTAAGTCAGTAAATACACAATAAAAACGGCCTCTGGTTTTGCACAAATATTTAGAACAAAGAGCTTGTAAAACAAACAAATTATCAACAGTAGAGTCGTTTGGTCGGAACCCTGCTTTGAGACTCAGACAATAAATCATTTACTTCCATTAACTGGAATATCAGTATCTGTCATAAAGTTTAGTCAGCAGACCGAAATAATGGGATTTAAAATACTCCAAACTAACTTGTTAGTTGTTTGGGTTAGTTGGTTTATTTGGAAAAAAATAAAATACAAATGCAAATTGTATATTATTTTGACAGTAACATATACACATGTTTACTTCTGTCAGAAATTGTTTTTGTTCTTTTTAATTCACACATGAAGCTACAGGAGATTATGTATAAAATACATTTGATTGAAATATGTTCACAAAGTTGCAGTTATTTGTAGTTAGATAATTGTTAGTTATCTAGTTTCATTTTTCTTAACCACCAAAGATGTTTTTTTCTGATTGAGACTTTTGGCTCTGTTTGGTCAGATTTGAAAGCCAAACACTAACAGGTGTTATGATGTACAGAAACTGAAGATAAGAAGGAAACCTTATCAAAACATGGAGGGAACACATAGCATCAGGGCATACAGCTAGCGTCTCACACCTTTTTGTTTATAGAATATAGTTGTATTGAGAATATGTTTTCCCAAATCGGAAGTAATGTTATTAAACCGAAAATGCTTTTACTTTGTTTAGGTAGCTTCAGGCATTGTCTTTTGTGTTTTAAAGTTTACTGCATTGATCATTGAGCATATGTTTTCCCAAACTGAAAGTGATGTTATTTAACCAGAAGTTTCTTATGACTTTGTGATAAAGGTAGGTAGAGGCTATCTGTTTCATAGTTATATTGCATCAGGCACATAAAAGGTCATCTGAGGTGGTCAAGTCAAAATGATTCATGATACACTTCTGATGGGAGAGTTTTGGGGGCATCTGGGAAAAAATAGTGATGGGGCTGCTTTTGTATATCAATGTAATGCAAACACCTTACCAGTTAATCTCCAAAGCTTAAACTATTACACCAACTATATGACACCAAGAAGAGCTCCAGAATCTGACTCTTGTCTCAAATGTTTGTAATACTTATTTTGAATTGTTTTTTTTGGTTTGATATGAAGAAATACGATAAATATTAAAATTGAGATTCACAAAGATCTGTGAGAACAATAGGCAAACCAGACATTTTAATGAATATAGATATTGATTGTATAATGTGTGCATACTAAAAATTGATGCAATGCAGTTTCATGTTCCTTATACTTGTCTGCAGTTATTGAAGATTCTCAACAGTAACACTGAGAATCCCTACCTTATCTGGGACAATGCGACACGTGCACAGCTGAATGAGTACCTTGCTGACCAGCAACAAATGATGATCAAAACTGTAAGTTCCATTTCTTCTTGGCAATTTTTAGCAAAGTGTTGTGTCCTATTGTGTATGTTCCCATCTGCTATGTTAACTCACCAGTAATGCAAATAGCGCAACATTCTGTGACACTGTTCCCAGAAAGGAGCTTATGACATGGATATTTGTCATTTTTCTGTCTGGCTGTCTCTCCATCTTCCCATCAGTCTATTAGCATTTGAAAACTCTTTTTCCAGCCTTATAAAAAAAAGAATAATAACAAGCATTTTGGGGCACATTTAGATATTTTTCCTCACATAACTGAAAGTCAGCTTGTGAGCTTATGTCATGGCCACTGTGTATAGCCTGTGGCACGTTCCCACAAATGACAACCAAATTTGTTCAAAAGGTTGGAATCCCAATATATAGGCGATGTTGGAAAACCTATTTAGTAGTGGGGCTCAGCACATATGTTCCAGTTGTTTTAATATTGAAACTTTTGACCTTTGCACTTTGAACCATGCAATTAAATTCTCTCAAAATTTCCTTTAACTGTAAAGATCATCTCTTAATGAATCTCAAACTTCACATGCTTGTTCCCACCTTTGTTGACACCTCAATTTGTTCAAAAGTGTTGATGCGATTTAAAATCTGACAATTTCTCAAAATGTACTGTAAAGATCTTACACCTAATGCTACACCTAATACCATAAAATTGCTGTGATGTCATCAGATGAAGAGAGTGCATTTCTTTTTCTCTCATCATTGTGGAATAAAACTAGCTTGCACTATCTTTATCTTTTGTTTTTCAGGGAGAATGTGACAGCAGCTATGGAGCTAACTTTGTGTTTGATATTTATGCGAAGGAACTGATTGTTGGAGAAGTATTTGTAAGAGTGTACAACGAACAACCAACATTTCTACTGGATGTAAGTTGAATTTGTGAAAAGTAAATGTTTAAAGGTGATAATGTATCGATGATATGTTCATCTCTACCTTTTCGCTTGACAATTAACAGCGCTCAATTTTTGTTCCAGAATGCCAAGGGATTCACCATTGACTTATTAGATTATTTGGGATCACAGGCTCAAGTAAGTATATATAGAGAGAAATTTCACCTGAGTGACTTTTATTTTGAAATATAAGAGATTAGAACTTCCGAGTCTTGCCAAAGGTTTATAAAAATTAATTGACATGTGTTGATATATTTGATATCAAAAGACATGAAGGTGAGAGTGTATATATCATCCACTCATTCTTCCAACTCTTTCACTTTAAAAACAATAATAATCAGTGTCTTGAATGTAATAAGCGCATCTAAAATGTTTGCAAGCACAAAAAAAACGTGCACACACAAACACACACTCAAACTCACGCTCAAACGCACGCAAGCACACACACAAAAATGCATGCACACACAAACACCACTTCCACAAAATTTCATTATTTTCTATGATGAAGCAAAATATGATTTGTAAATTAAAGAGAAAAAATTTATTAGAAGTAAAATCCAATATGGTCACAACAAAAATGGATATTCCAAAATAGTTTGATGAATAATGTATGGAGATAAATCTCTGAAAGTTAGGAGCATTTTATTCAGTAGGTTCAGAGGAGGAGGGTTTTGAAGACATGTACCCCAAAAAAGTGAACTATACTCTGAAAATCTTGAATTCAATATGGCCATCGTGCCATGTTACTTTTGACATGCAAACAAGAGCAAAAAATGTGAAACATATGGCATCCAAAGTTCATGCAAAATTTCAAATATTTTCTATACCTTACAAGTTGAATCCAATATGGCTGCCAAACAATGTGACAAATGACCAAAGTTCAACAACATAAAATGTTTAGCACCTAAAGCGGCAAATGCACTTAAAGTTTGATGGTATTCGGACAAGCGGTTACGGAGCAATAGGGCAAAATATGTCTTCAAAAATTATTTGCTTTTTAGTTTTACTGCCCTTGGTCTTTGGGATAACTTGTACAGTCCACATACATTTAAAAAATTTGAATGGAATCTGGCAGCTGGTTATTGTGTTATCTTTGGTCCTAAATCAGCAGAATAACAAAAATTATGATAATAATTGAAATTATACCATGAATTTCGAATTTACTAGATTGTGATTGGTCAATCAGAGGCTATTAAATCACAATAAACCCCCTCTGATTGAAACAGCTGGTTTGACGAACGCATGACCACAGAAGCTAATATTCATAGAATAGTACTATTTTCAGTCATTGTTGGTAGGCATATTTAAATAATTATATCTACAATTACAGGTTACAAAATGCACAGATATGGTTACTACAATATTCAATATACAGCGCCATATTTTGTTCAGTGATTCCTAAATTCAGATCGATAACCCACTCAAAACACTGGACTCAACCCATGCCGCTTCACTCAGTATATTTGCTAAGACCAAAGAGTTCACGTTTTATTTAATCATGGTAGAATGGAGATAAACACACTGTGTTTTCAATGTAGAGCTAGGTTACCTGTTGATTTAACCTCACTAAATTTAACATTTGAAACCTCAAGCTGTGCGTTCGGTTCCAAATTCAATTTTGCATGGTTAAATCTACGGGTAACCTAACTCTACATTGAAAACACAGTATAATTCTCTCCTAATTGAAATGGACATCCATCCATCCGTCCATGAAAGATTCCGGAGCAGATCATTTAAACTGTACAATATTTCTTCACAAAACTTGGCACATAGATAGGTCTTGTGGTGAACTGGTGCCTTTTGATAGTTTTGGACTTTTGAAAAATTAATTTTCAAAGTTTTCATTGCAACAAAATATATAGATAACTAGTTGACATATTCACAACAAGTATTTACCATTGTGGGGTATATAGATGACTTTGTCCTCTTGTAAAATCTTGGCTTGGAAACCTAATAATGATAAAAATAGGGTAAACAGAACAATTACCAAAAGGCTCTTTTTCCATTCTGGCTTGGAGCCCTAATAATAAATCTGACAATTACAATAGGGCTTCCACCCTTCTGCTTGGATCCCTAAAAAAAGGTTCTGGAGGTATACTTGTAAGCACTTGTAGTTGTGTCAAGGTGACTGTATGTCCCTTATGACTATTGCAGAAAATGGAGTTATATTAAATGCTAGTTTTCTATGTTTAAGATATTCCTGAACATTCAGGTGAACTATTAAAGAAATGGCATATATTTTTGCCTTTATATGAATTCTTTTCCAGCTATATTAGTGCTACATTGCAGGCGTGTCATCCATATGTTTTCAGTACTTACATTCCCTGATGATGCTTCAACAACAGAAAAAAGCATCCACTCATTCAGATCAGGGAGGTCGTCTGGGAAAAGTAGAAATGGCCTTAGAAGCTCTGCGGAATGTTATCAAGAACAACCCAGGTACATGGATTCAAAATCAACTTCATGTCATCCAGTCAATCTTATTGTTACATCATAAGCCTCCTTTCTTTTCAAGAAATTATTCATGGTGACTTATTCATTGTTCTCAAAATTGACTTTAAAGACATGCAGAGACCAAACCAAGTGTAAATGGTTTCCATTTGCAAGAAATAGCAGTTTTTGTTCTTTCTGCAAATAAACCCCCAGCTGACATAATGCTTACAAAACTTCTACCTCTATTACATCTCTGCCATAAATCCTGTATTTTGGCTTCAATCACACTAACTAAAATGTTCAGATTTTCAACAGACATCCTCTTCACTGTCAATCACACAATTAGTTGTCATCAAGTACAGTGATCCCTCGATATACCGCTGTCATCGGGGTCCAAGAAACTGACCCCGCGGTGTAGGAAAGAGCGGTGTACAGATATTCCTTGCTGAGGTTCACATTACGTAATGATGGTAGTGAATGGAACAGTGGCGCAATTATTTCACAGTGGCATGGGACATGTAGATCTATGTAACACCGATCGTGGATGATGATTCAAACTGCATGCGTAAAAAAATAAAAATACTTTGTGTAAATTAATCAAAGTAGTCTGTATTATTTTACGACTGGATGTTATACATGTAGAATCTAAATAAATGTTGTTATATTTTAAGTTTTTCGGGAGAAAATTGGTCCGATCACCGACCTACTCACATTATCGATCGATGACAGTACATTACAAAGCCAAACCAGCCTTGTAACGAAACTAATGTGCAACCAAGGCTGTGATTGGTTAATAAATAATGACGTGTCAAAGTTATGAAAAACCCGGACACGGCCGGCTCTCTGTATGCACTTTATGTACAATGTACGGTCATTTGAGCGATTTATAAAAATCAAACACAAATGTAGATTTGAGTGGATAAGAGATATATTTAGTTCTGTTAATAATGATAATTTTGCAAAGGGAAAATCGTCAGGGCCATGAATATCTTGGGACAGTTTGATTAAATGAACTAAGATTTATTTTATACCCTTCGTAATTACGCTATTTAAACAATGAAGTTCCAATGTTTTTTTATAGGTCTCTCACGGTTACTCAAGTCCAGATTAAATACCGGAAGCCATTGTGTCGATTGTTGTTATTGCATTACACGCGGCCGGTTTGAAGTTCGAAGACATCTCATATGTTGTCTTACCAATCACAACAAGCTGAGATGAGTATTAAATGAAACAATGCGGCTTATGTTTGTTGTTGCTGTGATTTGATTTTATGTGAGTTTAATGCCAGATCTGTGTACGATATGTTTTTTCACAACCGGAACAAAAGGCAGAATGGTTTCGATCACATTCAGCCGGATACAATGAACGTAATTGTTTTACAAATACACACACGTGTACATCGACTTGGAATTAAATTTCATCAGTTTATTTGTAACTTTATTTGCTTTAACGCGCATTAACGCGCTTTTAGGGGAAAATTCTTCATGCATTTTTGGGAGCCATGGTTTACCCCGCGGTGCATCCGGAGTAGGGGTACATCGAGGAGCGTTAAGTCGAGGGACCACTGTAGTATCGTAACTACCCAAGCCATGACGTCACAATGGCGGCAACCTCACTTTTTTCCTGTGTGTGCTAGAGTCAACACCTATTATCATAGTAGTAACGATCTAGCACTTGGTAGTAAGTCACATTAATCTAAGATTATTCAAATAGTTTTCTATGAATAAACAGACATATAAGTATACATTAATTTTGCTGCTGGAAGCTATAGCAGGCACGTAAGTATAACTGGTGTTTGGTGCTCTTTGTGAGGTCAACATGCAGTCTCCCGCTACCCCTGGGTGTAAGAAGTGTGGCCGCTTCATGGTCATGGGAGATTCTCATGAAAGCTGCACGAAGTGCAGAGGCACTACTGGCAACTAAGGCCTAGAGATGGAAGGCTGCTAAGAAGAAGGTGGAAAACATCACGGCTGAGAAATCAGTCTCCACCCCAGCGCTTCCCTCTCCGGATATCCAACCATCTCCTGGACTCTGTATGAGTCTTATTTACCAACTTTTCCAGCAGCAACAGGAGATGGTGAAGAGCATGTTAGAGACAAAGTTCTCAGTGCTGGACGAAGAAATGGCAAAAATCAAGGAGATAGCTCTGGCAAAGAAAAATTCCCCGGTCACAAGACCACAGAGGGGAATGTCATCTGTCCACTCTTTAAACAAGGCACCCCTCAGATGACCAGCAAGCTGAGTCGTACGGCCAGCCAGCCGACCACCCAGAGCCATTTGACCAGCTGGGTATAAACCAGCAGGCTTTGCTCTACCATGACACAATACGGGAGCCACACAGTATATCCATGGACCAGCTTTCCACAGCAACCAAGCCATCCCAGCCCTCTGACCAGCCAGGTTAAGACACCGTACGGTGGTTACACAGACTCCATGGGCCTGCCTTTCATGGCAATCTAGCCGACCGACAAGCCAGCCAGCCAGCCAGCTAGCCGTTACAGACACCGTTCGGCTACCCAGAGAATTTGCCACCCCAGATGCCAGAATATGGGGGATGTCATGCTCCAACATCGTCTCAACACATCCATCAGACATTACCTTGGCCCAATGATGCTGGCAAGGTAGTGGACCAGATGTCTGACAGTCTACACAAGTTCAAGCAATGATGGACGACTACCTTTACCTCCAATTAAGCGGAAGATATATAGGATGCACAAGGCTCCACTTACGGAATTCCCAAGAATGGGCGAACATATCTACAAGTTGGTATGTAACCCCAACACTAGCATTATGTTACTTACTTCGTGGATTAAGGATCTGACATCAGTTTCCAGATACTCTATGGATATTGGCACTTACATTAAATTGGTTTGTCGCTGGAATCAGACATATCATTCCACCATTACAGCCATCTTATGAGGGAATAACCGGAGACATGCCCATGACTATTAGTACTGATCAAGTCGGACTCATCCATAGCCTTCTAGACACCATAGACAGAATGCTCGTGATATAATCACTGGATTGTCGGGTCCAGACCTGATTGTTCCCAAGTCTGGATTTCTTCACAGCTATTATGAGTTCAGCATCAACAAATACTAGCAGAGATTCGTTCAAGAGCTGTTTCCAGGTAAACCAAGATGTCACAACCAATTTCTGCTCCTAAGACATTCACCCATCAAATTGGGACATATCATAGGCAAAGTCAAACAAGATACAAGGAACAATTCGAAGCATTGACTATCAGCCTAGCTGCCAAGATACGGATCTTCTTCCCCCTGAAGCGCACCAGGGATCAGAAGGACTCGTCATATAAACAGCCTCCTAAGAAGAATTTGTTTCCCCCGGGCAGGATTAGTTCCAACCGAGTCAGGGATATGACAACCATCAGTCTTTTCAGGAATCACCTACATTTCAAGAAACAAGTTAGCGGCAGCAGATTTGACTGTCAGGAAGCTAATAAGAAGCGAGCCATTCAGAGACTAACAGAGACCAACAACACCAAGGTTTTTTTTATTCTCTGGCCTTCTTAGTCCTGAAGAAGAATACAACAGAAATGAGGATTATCATCGATCTGTTGACCCTCGAGAAAAGATATCTGGTACATCAGCCAAAGTTCCAGATGGAATCCATACGGAAGTTATGGTCGACGTTGAACATAGGAGACTGGCTTAACAGCCTAGATTTACAAGATGCCTATCTTCACGTCCTGACATAAATATCTACGCTTTGCCATCATTGGCTGATGCTAAGAATTTCAAGTCCTACCATCAGGATAGCAAAAGCCTCTTGGCTATTCGCCAGGATTACAGTGCCAGTCATCAAATCTGCTCACCTCCAGTTAGTTCATGATTACCTGGACAATTTCCTAGTGGCAGACCAAGAGAAAGCTCAACAATCCCTCCAAGTCTGAGACTACACCAGTTCAAGACAACATATACATCAGAGCAAGATTCCAGCTAGACATCAAGATTATCAAGATCATTCAATCACTTCTAGGCAACTCTACGTCTCTACAGGATATGACCTTCAGAGGAAGGCTGATGCTACATCCTCTACAGACAAGGATCAACTCTGTACGATCTCACAGAATTAGAGTTCCAGACTCCAGTTACCTGCAAGATTACTACGAGACATCTATTGGTGGAATCAGTGAGATCATGTGATGAACGGCATCCCTCTGACTTATCAGACGCTCGAACATCTATTCACAGACATGTCAGATTCAGGTTGGGGAGCCCATATGAACGACCTCACAGTACAGGGATTGTGGAACACAGAATAGAAAACCTTCATATCAACTGCAGGGAAATGAAGGCCATCTATGACACCATCCTGAAATGGAAGATACATCTTTACCAATCATCTGTTCTCATAGCCATGGACAACACCACAGTTGTGGCATATATTCAGAAGCAGGGAGGAACCAGCTCCAGCTGATGACAGAGACTACATGATTGTTTGCCTTGGCAGACTACTTCAATTGCCGGATGGAAGCAAGACATATACCCGGAAAACTGAACATACTGGCCGACAGCCTTTCTCGCCGGGGGAGAATAATGGCACCAAAATGGACCTTACATCCACAGCTCTTTGCCTGGAAAACCAAGTTATGGGACACACAACACCTGGACATATTTACCACCTGCAAGACACAACCAACTCACCATTTTATGTAAGTCCAGTTCCAGACCCAAGAGTTTACCAGATCAACGCACTATCGAGGGATTTGCTTACGCATTCCCACCATGGTCTCTCCTAGACAAAGTCATCCACAAGGTGGAGGAGACGGATTGCGTAATAAGACTGATAGCTCCAATATGGTCAAGCAGGGCATGGTTCCCCAGACTAAAAAGACTATTAATGGGCGAACCTATCCGGTTACCTCTTCGGTGAGATCTGCTACGGCAACCCAAGTCCAGCATTTTCCATGACAATCTGCCAAACCTACATCTAACCGTCTATTAGGTGTAGGATGGATTAGAAGCACCTTGAATATCAACTGTCTCCATTAGCCAGGAAGTGATGTCATTGCCAGAAGTGAGAATAACCGGAAGTGATGTCAGCACAAGAAATAACAGAACAGGATCCTCTAATCAGGAAATGACATCTTTGGGTAGAATTAGACCTAGAGAGATGTCATTTCCTTGAGAAGGGGAAAGTGACATACCGGAAGTGACGTCATAACCGTTATTAGGGTAAAGAAATGACGTAATAAAGCAGAAATATATTGGAAATGACATCATTATTACAATTAAGATTAGCAGATATAACGGTAAATCTAGTGAGAATGTCGCATATTTGACTGATTCTTGACACATTTCTGATTTTCAAGTCCTCAAGGGGAATTTCAGAGGAAATTATCTCAAGTAGGATTAGAATCAGTACATAATGGTTTCCAGAAGAGGATTGCTGTCAATTACACAGGGAGTAACTAGAAGCAGATCCAGGGTCCCTCTGGTATATTCTGGCAGAGATGTAATAGAGATAGATGTTTTGTAAGAATTATCGAACAATAGTTATTGTTAATAATATTAAGAATACTTCCTCTATTACATCCAAAGTACTCCTTCCCACCTTCCCAATTCATCTACCTCCAGTAGTAGATGAGGGGAAAAAGTGAGGTTGCCATCATGGCTTGAGTAGTTACGAGACTACTTGGCGACAACTTATTGTGTGATTGACAGTGAAGATGATGTATGTTGAAAATCTGATTGAAGCAAAAATACAGGAATAATGGCAGAGATGTAATAGAGGTAGTATTTTTAGAATTATTAACAAAGATAACTTTTGTTCAGGATGGAAGGTAAAAGGGGATAACACTGTGAACAATTGTGTATTGTCCCAGCCTTTCTACGTCTGAAAACAACTGACAATCTGGAGTAATACATCAATAAAATAATACACTTAATTTACAAACCCCTGTGTTATTTCCCACAAGACCTTAACTTTTGCAAAATTAGAATCAAACAAACATATCAACATTTCCCCTTACATCTAATTGTTGGCTCACCTGACTGAAAGTCTTGATTGTTAACAGGCCAGGAATATAAGGAGCAAGCATATACTAAACATTTTTTTACTCAGAATTGACATACATAAATCTTCTCTCCTATGTGTATAACTTCTAAATGCCATTCAAAGTCTTCATTTTGTGCATAATGATATATATATACTATATTTATTATTTTGTGAAAATTGAAAGATTGGGGATGTTAAGGACATTGTCTCCTTGTTCACGTTCTGATGGACTTCTTTATGAAAAAGGTTGAATGCTAAATCATAATGTCTATTTACCTTCTGATTGCAGGTGTTGAGATTCAGTGTATTGGACACTTCAAACTTCTGTTTGCCCTGCTTCGTCTAGATGACTGTGCAAAATTACAACAGTTTGCACTTGAGGTATGAACTGTTTTAGTGGGCAGAATAACAGTTTTTTTGGTTTGTGCAGTAACAACAAAACAATAGGATTCATGAAAATATTTATTAATAACATTGGCAATAGCTCTGCGGGTATGAATGAAGAGGTAAGGGTTGTGCCGACCTGATTGAATGAATGCTAGTTACCCTGCGGGTAAGGAACAAGTCCTGAGACCGTGCCGGCCCTGGACTGTAAATTTGGAAGAAAGGTACTTTGGGGGCCACAAGCCATTCCTATGCAGTATGCAGGGCATGGAATGATTTGTGAAGCCCAAATGAGGTTGTGTGCAACCGAGAGCCCCCAAAGGATGGAATTGGAGAAGATTAAAATCTACACATGGAATGGACAAAACAAAAGTAGGAAGAACACTGGTATAAACAATGACAGAAATAGTAAATGATATCGAGGCTGTTGGGGTTAATATAAGGAAAAATTATGACGTCATGTCCGTAGTTCTGGGCATGAGCAGAAGATAAAATGGTGCATTGTGGGATAGCTTAAATGTAACATGATACAGAGTATTTTTAACGTGAAGGGAGTTGGAAGTGAGCTGGGAATTACTATGGAGAATAAGTGATATAGTAGTATAGCTAATGGGGGTTCTGGCTCACTTCCACTGGAGCCAGATTTATTACCTATACTGCTACTACAGGGGGGATTTTTTATGCCAAAATGATTATGCGATTTAACGATAGTCATGAGTTGTATTAAACGAAATATCAATATTAATTAATAATGGATAAAATTTACTATAGCCCACGAGGATATTGGAAAGGTGTGGGAGCAATAAAAAAATTAGCCACCGCGGCTAAGGTATCTAAAGATGTGGCCAAGGATTGGTTAAAGAAACAAGCGATGTGGCAGATATATTTACCAGCACCGCGTTATATACCGAGGAAGAAGTTTGATATTTTTACAACGAATGAAGTTCATCAGGCTGACCTCTTGTTTCTTCCCCACGATAAGGTAAAACGCAAAACGTATAAATACGCTTTAACCGTAGTGGATGTGGCTAGTCGATACAAAGAGGCTGAGCCATTAACATCTAAAGAATCAACAGAGGTAGCTAATGCACTGAGTCGCATATATAAACGTGGACCGCTAAAATGGCCTAAGCTATTTCAAGTAGATCCCGGTCGCGAGTTTATGGGATCGGTAACTAAACTGTTAACAAAGAACGATGTCGAAATCGTCCGTGGTGAAAGAGAGGCCCACCGCAGTCAAGCTATCGTCGAAAGATTTAACAGGACATTAGCGAAACGTTTGTTTGGCTATCAGTATGGCATCGAAATGAAATCGGAACGATTGAGATCAACCGAATGGGTGACACGATTATCAGCCGTTGTATCAGCGCTGAATAATGAAGTAACGAGATTAATAGGGAAGAAACCATCCCATGCTATTAAAATGAAATCCGTGACTTCCGAATCTTCAGCACCGAGGAGAGGCAAAGAACGAAAACTTCCGGATAGAGTAAGGGTAAGATATTTATACCAGCCCGGTGAACTCGAAGGAGGCCTACATCGCGCAACCGATCCAATATGGTCCCTTAAGACGTATAACATTAGTCGATTGGTTACGAAAGAAGGAGAGCCTATTCTTTATTATCTTCAAGATGGACCGGGTAGGGCATTTGTACGAGAAGAGTTGTTCATAGTTCCCGACTGTACGGTATTACCACCATAACCATAAGCATAGGTAGTTACACCATCATTATCAATCCATCTCTTTGTATCTAAGGGGGATAATGATGTCTTGTTCATTCTTAATCCATATATCCTATGATTGTAACTTCTTAAAGAGTTCATCTCGTGTTTGAACGTTCTACCATTGAATAATGATTCTTTATACTGTTCGTGTTTGATATGCTTTTTTACAACGTACTTCTTAACGCCCTTAGCTTTTCTTATCTCTCCATTATCAGACTTCTTTATAGAATACATCTTAGGTCTTAATCCAACATACTCCGCTATAGGGGTGCCAGCACATTCATCCTTCATCTTACCTAACACCTTTTTATTTACTACGCTGTGCAGTGGATTATTTTTTGGGTAATCGCTCGTGTCGTACATATCTATTTTTTCTGCCATATCTTTATACACATCCTCGGTTTGTATTTCCATCAACAAAGAATCTGTGTCGGTATATAAAACCTCGCATCTATCGCCGTATTGCTTCTTAAGTTCGTTGTAATAAAAGTCATACATTAAGTGTTTTGACAAGTCGAGAATACTCATACCGACGTACACCGGTCTGTTGAATTTTATATTACTCTTCTGCATATGCAACGCTGCTAAGTCGTTATCGAATATCTTGCTTCTGTTAAAAGCCGGACTGGCTATAAGTTTCCTGAGTCTTTCTTCCTCATTAGATCTGACTAATTTAACATCAACACGCTTCCTTAGATTCTTCATAGGTTTACCAAATACTGAGTAATTCATGAGCTTATACAGATTCTTTTCGAAATCGCTGGTAGCTATCTTTCTTAAATCTCTGTTAAGCCTTATATAGGGCTCCATCCAAGGGCTTTGATCGAACTTTAGAACTCTGTGTATTTTCTTAAGTTTCATACCTAACGATAGATACAACTGGAGATTTCTGTAGTGAACTATATATTTTGTCTTATCCATCAAATTTGGTACGAGTTTTTCTACGTTAGCTAACCTACTATTACCCATCAAGGAGTGTTGATATTCCGACATCCAGTCTTTATTAACCATTAATCTTTCGGGAGCTAGCGGATAACTGTTATGGTCTTTATGTAACGAACTTGGATATTCCAAGTCAACTTCTAGTATGTACCCTTTATTCACATCTTTCACATTGATATCATTCACTTTGATATCATTGACCCATTCAAAACCACCCGTGGGTAAAGGTTGACTCATAGCCCATCCGTACAAATTGTTAGCGTCGAGATATAATATGTGCGTGTCGGGTTACTCGGATCGTATCCTTCCACTAATTTATTATTAGCCTTAGAATACCTTTTAGCTGCCATCGATATACCACCTCTTAATCCTTTCTCAATAAACAAGTGCATATCTGTTATTCTAGATTCTGTTAAGTTACTATAGAATGATTCGAGGGGTGGTAATTCAGTTTCTTCGAATCTAGACCAATCATCCATATATTCGTAAGGATATACACCTTTTCTCAGCAACAAATGACGAGTTATCTTATCGGTAGATTTATTTGTTATCGCAAAGTCATCGGGATTGTTCGCATTAGCTAAATTGTCCAGGGAAGATAACAGAAACTGTACGGAGTCTATGAATCTAAGCCCGTTACTTTGCTTTATTCTAGATTTCCCATCCATGTCCCTATAATGTATAGGTTTAGTCAACGAGAACGATATGTATTTTTCCATATTGTTAGGAATGCACGTTAAACCGCCGTCGGTCTTTGAGATAGCTTGCATAATGAGATGTGAATCGTATCCCCTAAGGTTATGAAACACAACGGGGATGGGTATTGTTTGAGAATTCATTTTTAGTTTCAAGTTCCCCGATAATTACCCGTGACGTGACAATGATCTCTTACGGAATCCCCATCCAGGGGTTTATTACAAACATGACAAATCGTTGACTTCTTATAGGCCCTCCAATCATCCCTCGTCATACGCATGGGTTTCTTACACGATAATTTTTCCCTGATTATTCTCTCTTCATTTTGTAGATATTCTAGGAACTTTCCCGCTGCATCGGGACCTCTGTAAATCACGGGAGTGTTTGTTTTCCCATCATACCTTACAACTATATATCCAAACCCATAAGGAATATGTTCTTGAGTTTTGTACGTAAAACTACTATCGTGATTATTATGGTTGGTATTTTCTATGGGTTTGATAAGCGCTTCGAAGTCGGCGTAAAATACGTACGGTACTGGCATTTGATTACAATAATGTTCAAATTTTAATATATTTTTTCCCTCTTTAGGCATATCGATCCTGATAGCATTCTGTCCAACACCTCTACAGTCTTCTTTATGCGCTTCTAATAGATCTTGTCTGCTGTACCCATGTAGGCATCTTTCGCAGAAATATTTCTTTTTTTTATGTTTTGTTTGATCGTATAGTAGCCTGTTTAAACTCTTTATCCACGTATAATGATATTTACCATCTTTTTCGATCAGAAATGAATTGATTCTGGGGATATTTTCCGGAGCGGAGCTTATCCTGTGTACAACAATTCCTTTAGAATGTCCGAAAACATTTATAGCTAAATTATTTTGCTTTTCCACCTTATCAATTTGTGATATTGGTGTAGGTTCGTCTATACCATCGAAGTTGATTCCATCGTTTTGGGGATAGCTAGAAGGTCTATCCAGATCTTTGTCTACGGGGAACAATGCAGATCTTATCATCATTCTTAAACAGTCATCGCATTTATTTTTTACGTTAATTATGGCTTTTTTCTTCTTATAATACGGGGGTAAATCTATATAAGATCCACCTTTGAAAGGCATATAATTCGCTATATCTAAATATAAACTATCGATTTTATCCACACCCCAACCAGAACCTCTATTAGTCCAGCGTTCTAAAGTTTCCTGTATTCTCTGAATTGATGTATCTAATGATGCGTTTATAGTATCAGATTCTGTTAAAACTTCTTGATTGCTACGGAAATATGGTTCCGTATATTCAACGCTATCGTCTGTGTTACTTTTACTCAATGACATTTTAATCGTCAGCTGGTATTTTATACTATGTAAATCATCTAATTCCTCGTTAATTTTACTCGATATGATGGGCTTAATATCGTTAACATCCATGTTGGAATTAATATCCATCTTCCAACCTCTTAGATATTTACCAACGCCGGCGGATGTGGGTACAAATATTAATTCTTGTTGTTTATTCTCAACATCATTATCAATATCATCATCATTAGGTTGATTAATATCTAGTAAAGCGATCAATTCAGCTCTTCTCATTCCAGAATAACCTCTCAGCCCACTGTTTCTCGCTCGAACTTTG